TAAAATATAGCCATCTACTAAACAAGATAAAAATAAACAAACTTACAATCTTGTGGAGGTAAAACTCTGATGGTTGCACGCAACTCCTGGATAGCAGGTGGAGGAGGAGAAGCTGTTGGACGACAGTAACCTGTATGCATGAGAACTAGAACACAAAATAGAACAACCTGTGTTATGTCCCATAGATCCACATCAATTCAATGAAAAAGAAAATAGTGAGACATTACATACCAGCAACAAGATCTGAATCGTATGTGTACACATCTGTTCCCCACAGCTGTCCACCCCTGACCTGCACACATTACTTAAAGACCTTAATAGTTTTTCTTTCTCTCCCTCTGTTTTTTTTTTTCCTCCTGCGTTTTGGAAATAGAAGTGGCATCTAATAGTATTAGAGTACCAGCGAAGAAGAAATAAAATAAGTTCCAAGTTAAGAGAAACAAATTATAAGCAAAAAGGAAAAGGAAGATTTTGCTCCTTTTTTTATATATATATATATATATATATATATATATATTTAATGAGAAACAATGAAAGAGCCAGAGGGAAAACAAACTAAACAGCCTTAGGGATGCGGAGACTGGAGCCAAAAAGGAGGAATTAAACAAAAAGCCTCCAATCTAAGTTGATCAACAGAAGAGGTGAGTTAGAAAAGGAATTGTGAAGGGCACTCCATTTTGACGTAGTATGCTTGAAGTTGTCTCAAAGATTGGACCAAAACAATTTGAATCTTCCTTTGAACCACCAGTCGTGGAGTAATTCAATAAGGCAATCTTCTATAATCTCTTCGGAATACACCATGCAATATCCAAACTATTGAGGATAAAATTTGGGTATTTACAAGCGAACAGGCAGATGACTATTGAGAATAAGATTTGTGTTTACTTCCCAAGTATGAATGAGATACTTTAATTTCTTATTGGTAGCCTTCTTGAGTAGGAGAAGCTTTCGATTTTGTTGGTCTAATCCAAAGGTCCCATCCCCATGATGTGTTTGGAAACTTTTTCTAAAAATGGGATACTCCTCTTCTCCTTCTACTTCTGGACTCCCATTAGAGGATGGTTACTGATCTTTGCCCAATATTTCCTCCTAGTCTTCGTTTGTCTCCCCAAATATGTGTTTGGACACTTTTTCTACATCGTTAAAAAATAGCTGGTTTACCAACCAAAACCCAATGGTCAGTTTTTTATGCTGATTTTGTTCTAAAACTAACACCAACCAACCAATGTGCTACCTTTCCTCTTTTTTTTGGAAAAGCTACCCTTCTTTGTTGGTCTACTTGAAAAGTCAGGTTTTTATTCCCCCCCCTCCCCCCCCCCCCCCCCCCCCCCC